CCTGGCCAACACAGTGAAACCCCGCCTCTACTAAAAATACAAAAATTAGCTGGGCGTGGTGGCGGGCTACTGTAATACCAGCTACTTGGGAGGCTGAGGCAGGAGAATCACTTAAATCTGGGAGGAGGAGGTTACAGTGAGCCAGGGTTGTGCCACTGTACTCTCCAGCCTGGGCGACAGAGGTAGATTCTGTCTCAAAAAAAAGAAGAAAAAGAAAAATTTGTCGGGTGCAGTGGCTCACCTCTGTAATCCCAGCACTTTGGGAGACCGAGGCAGGTGCATCACCTGAGGTCAGGAGTGAGACCAGCCTGGCCAACATGGGGAACCCTGTCTCTACTAAAAATTAGCCGGGTGTGGTGGTGGGCACCTATAATCCCCAGCTACTCGGGAGGCTCAGGCAGGAGAATTGCTCGAACCTGGTAGTGGAGGTTGCAGTAAGCCGAGATTGCACTATTGCACTCCAACCTGGGCAACAAGAGTGAAACTGTCTCAAAAAAAAAAAAAAAAGTTAGCTGGGTGTGGGGGCACATGCCTGTGGTCCCTGCTACTTGGGAGCCTGAGGTGGGAAGATTGCTTGAGCCCAGAAGTTCGAGGTCACAGTGAGCCATGATCATGCCACTGCACTCTAACCTGGGTGACGGAGCAAGACCCTATCTTCCAAAAAAAAAAGGTTGGGATTGGTGGCTCATGCGTATAATCTCAGCACTTTGGGAAGTCGTGGTGAGCAAAGTGCTTGAGCACGGGAGTTAAAGACCAGCCTGGGCAACATGGCAAAACCCCGTCTCTACAATAAATACAAAAATGAGCTGGGTATCATAGCATGCACCTGTACCCCAGCTACTTGAGAGGCTGAGGTTGGGAAGATTGCTTGAGCCCATTGGGTGGAGGCTGCAGTGAGCCAAGATCCTGCCTTCAGCTGGGTAACAGAGTGAGCCCCTGTGTCAAAAGAGAAAACAAAATGCCGAGAGATCAGAGAAAAAAAATGAGTTTGTGATCCTGTTATTCATAGAGAGAATCATCCTCTTTCCTCCCCACTCGCCTTAAACACAACCACAGTCTCATATACACTGGGGTTTAGGAGGCGGGCCGATGACACCAGACCTCTTCCGTGGTGGGAAAACATCTTGCTTAGGGTGAGTCAGGTGTCCTCAACCTGGCTGGCAGAGAGTAGAGACAGAAACAGGCCCGGCAGGGCGGGCGGCACTCCCTGTTTGAGAGTGGAACCTACATTTGTTTGGGGTTAGCTGGCAGAGAGGCTGATGACATCGTGAACTGGCTGAAGAAGCGCACGGGCCCGGCTGCCACCACCCTGCCTGACGGCGCAGCTGCAGAGTCCTTGGTGGAGTCCAGCGAGGTGGCTGTCATCGGCTTCTTCAAGGTAGAGACCAGAGCGTCATTCAGTCTTTCTTTTTTCTGTCATCCATTGAGGAGGGGTCCACGGCTGCGGCTGGCAGTTCTGCACGTGTCCCCCCGGGCCCAGGCATTGCAGACTCTGCCCCGACTGCTTGGTGCTGTGGGCTTGTGACTACCTCTGCTTTTCCCTCCTCGTTCAGGACGTGGAGTCCGACTCTGCCAAGCAGTTCTTGCAGGCAGCAGAGGCCATCGATGACATACCATTTGGGATCACTTCCAACAGTGACGTGTTCTCCAAATACCAGCTCGACAAAGATGGGGTTGTCCTCTTTAAGAAGGTGAGTGGGCCCAGGCAGCTCTGCCCGGGTTAGTTCCGGGGTTGGTCTGCAGAGGGTGGCGTTGCTCTCCTTATCATTAAGGGAACCTTGCTCCTGGCACCTTTGGCCGAATAGGTATGTTCTGCAGCTTTGCCAAGTTGGGTTGTAGGCAGCAGTGACACCTGTGGCCTTTGCATTCAGCTGTGGGCCCTCTGGCCACTCTCCTGCCACAGCCATCCCAGAAGAGCTGCTTTTGACTGTTAGTTTTTTTTTTTGTTTGTTTGTTTGTTTTTTTCATTTAGGATAAAACATGTAACAACATTTGCCTTGTTTATTTATTTATTATTTTGAGACGGTGTCTTGCTCTGTTGTCAGGCTGGAGTGCAGTGGTGCAATCTCGGCTCACTGCAACCTCCACTTCCTGGGTTCAAGCGATCCTCCTGCCTCAGCCTCCCAAGTAGCTGGGACCACAGGTGTGCACCATGCCCAGCTAATTTTTGTTTTAGTAGAGACGGGGTTTCACCATGTTGGCCAGGATGGTCTCAATCTCTTGACTTCATGATCTGCCTGCCTCAGCCTCCCAAAGTGCTGGGATTACAGGCGTGAACCACTACACCCAGCCCCATTTGCCCTTTTTTTTTTTTTTTTTTTTTTTT